TCAGAGTATACAGTATGTATTTCTATTAGTAATACGTCATTATTATTTGTTTATTAGCCAGGTCCAAGAAAGTTGGTTAAACCTAGTGATGGCGTGGAATTACTTAGAACATACATGTGTGTATAGATCTAGCTAGGTTTCTGAAATAAGTTAACTAGCATGACAGTCTGCATGGACAATATTAATACTGTTTGCATAATATTTAGAATTACAGTTTACATTTCTAATTCGGATTTATCTGTAAGGAGCATTCTCATCCCATTTCTGCACATACCACTGGTTGAAGCCTGATGCCCATTTCAAGTACTTGGTTTGGTTATGTCTTTTAAGCAGTAGTTCTCAAGCAGCTACACATTCAATGAGATCACTTCATGCTATTGTGTATTATACTATTTTGGAGGTAACATTCACACCTGTATTTACAGGCAGATCATTGACAATGGCTATACCAGAATGTCATTATCATGAAGAGAGCATATCATGAGTTACATAACAACAGTTTTGAAGGGTTTGGGCTTTCTACGTTTACTGCTTCTATTATCAAAAGCACTCGTTTCCGTACAGATCCTACTGATAAATTGACTTTCATCTCAGTCTGTACACTGTACGGAGTAGTCTTCTCTAACTAAGGTGTTCAATTCTATACGTCCTGGTTGTTAGGATGTTCGAATCACAATCTGCAGGTCATAGGTTCGAATCTCCATCAGAGAACATGCTCACCCTTTCAGCTGTGTGGCATTATGATGTGACGGTCAATCCCAATATTTATTGGTAAAAGAGTAGCGTAAGAGTTGGCAGTGCCTTCCCTCTAGTCTATCACTGCTAAATTAGGGATGGGTAGCACACATAACCTTTGAGTAGCTTTGCCCAAAATTCAAAACAAACAAACAAATCAATTTGATATGACTATTATGCTGTACTTCTGATGTGGGATCTATGAATTCATTCATCACACTATTGACAGGAATAATGTGCACAACTATTTCCAATATTATACAAATACACATCTACAAAAAAACAACAACAAAACCTGATATATTTAAAAATAAAAAAAGAGATTTCTAATTTTACAAGTACAGGTTTATGACACTGAAGACCATCTCAACAATGTATTATATTTGTTGGAAGCTAAGTGTGAAACTATATTGGTATGAGCAGATAAGGAAATGTTGACAACACATAATATTACATAAAAACTGAAACAAATTATTTTCTACCTGTGAGTGGATCCTTGAGAAGGGGATCTCTGATACAAATGTTTTATTGAACCTTTTGTACTCTGCAAAAATTCAAAGACATCCTATGTTATTATGGTTCAAAAAAGAAAGTTTTCAACACGATACAAAAATAATTTCAAGAACACTATGTTCTACTTTAATGACATAAAAGTTTCAGTGAATTTATACAAACAATCTTTGGCCAGTTAGTGTACATGTCTTATGCCTATTTAATCAACACTATTTACACTTTTGTCATTCTCAGAGTTTTTTGTTTTACCTATTTATAAGTGCAGAATGGTTAAAAATAGCCGAAAATAATCAATTATTCTGCAATTTTGGCATTACATAATTATAATTTTTTTTATAGATTGTATTAATTAAAAAAGAAGAATAACTACAAAAAATAATATGCTCTCCTATATATGAAAAATCACTAGAAATTAATATTGTAGACAGAACTTAGTTAAATCAGGGTCAGCTATGCTATAAAGATTAAGTATGGTTTACAAAATTAAGATTAAAAAAATGGTTTAAATTAGTTGTAGTTTATTTAAGATTAAAGATGTTATACAAGTTTGAATAAATTAACTTTTGCAGAAATTCAAAAGTTCCTAAAATCACTTGTTTTAATGGTTTTATATTTTAAAAGAATCTAAGAAACATAAACAATCATATTTAAACGCATGATCGGATAAAAACCGAGATCCTTACTGTAGGAGTGGAATCTCCCATGGTTATTACACTCACACCACTACTGCTAGTGCTAGCTGCAGACCGTTTCTGAGAGATGTTGGACAAATTAGACTCTATGGATTGACTGCGATTTCGACCTGTCAGCGCTCTCCGAACAGAGTCTAAAAAACGGGAACTTGTACCATTCATTTCAGTCCTACTATTCTCATAACACAGGCCTGCACCACAGAATTCCTGTGTTTTTTGCACAAGGCCATCGTGGAGGGAATGGAGTAGAGAAGCTCGTGTACGTTCCTAGAAAAGCATAAGGCTTGCTTAACAGGAACCTAAAGTTACACTGATGAAAACAAGATATTTAAAAATACAATTATTATTATTATAAACTGAAAATCGAAAATAGGTGAAAAAAATTCTGCAGTATAAAATTCTATATTCTATTTGTTATTGCTTACTTACTAGAATAATAAAAAAATCAAATAGTATAGAATTAACAGTTATAAAACAATGTTCAACATGGGGGGAAAAATATAACTAACTGAAGTTTTAATTTGTTTTATAACAGTCAATTCTATTTTTGTCAAACTTCTTGTTAAAGTAAACCTAACATTGTTGTTTTAACAGAGATAGGAGTGCAATTCTCCAGAAAGTTGTAAGAACACAACAGAAGTGAAATTCTTGTATGTTACATTAACAGTTGATGATATGTTGGAATTCTAATATAAACCCTACCTTCAACTTTGCAAATTTTTCTGCTTTATAACAAGCATGTTCGGCATTGATGAGTTTGGCTAGGAGAAATTCTTGGAACTGGTTTCCTTTGGCAAATATAGCTGGTTGTGGTAAGGGTGGGCCAAAATTTGGAACATCTTCTCTTGCTGTAACTGAAACTTTGTACCTGAAAATAATACAAAAACTGAGCAAGTCACGTGTCAAAAGTTTGGAACCGCTGATATTCAACTCCCAAATTATCAATTTGTTTTTATGATTTTCTCCATCAGTGAAACCACATATTGTATAATTATTGAATAATTTTGTTTTTCCCATATTAGAACACTTACTGTAAAAAAAAACTGACCAAAAAAAATAGGGTGAAATCACTCATGTTCTACATATATCATAAAAGGAACCCCAGCAAAACTGGTGGGTTTTATTGTAATATGAACGGTATTTTTTGTATGGCATATAATAGGTTAGTGTAAGATCTTACAAAAATATCTGTATAAAGGTGATAGCTGGATTCCATTGTTAATTTTAGGACTATGGATTTTGTCTTTTATGAAGAAAAACTCAACCCAAATATTAAACAGATATCCCATGTTGTATGGTCACTTGCCACTAACTAGACTAAGAGTTAATAGCAAATAAAATCACAGTATAAGCAGATTACAAAGTCGAAATTCAAAAACATTTTTTTCCTATTGGTTTCTTGCTTAACATTTCATCTTCGTATTTTGATAGTTGATTCAGTGAGTCAAATGAAATATGTATGCTACTACTTAATATGACTAAAAGCTGGAAGAAACTATAAAAAAAAGTATTATTTAAATGTAGGCCACATTTTTCCATAAGTGTCACCTCAGATCTTCAGTTAGTACCAAGATCTTTGAGAAATAATGAAGTTTCCATGTGATTTCTGTAATACTAAATAAACTTTTAAAATATAAGATTCCATATGGCTTAAGACAAAAAACTTTGAATGTAAAATCATTTCATAAGCATATATTTTACATATTTTGAAAAGATGCACTACTAATGGGATGTTGCCACAAATATTACTTGACTGTCCATGAAATATAACAGCCAAGCACAATGTCTAGGTTGCAAAGACTTGCAAGTTATCATCATGTTAATTAATTCAGTATCAAAGATACCTAGTAGAGTCTATACAGCCTTTTGAATATAAAGAACAGATACATTTATAAACAGTTAGTGACCTCAGTAGCTTAGGAATTTTAATCTATTTAAATATGAAGTGAAATGACTTTTCTAAAATTATCCAGTTCTAATCTGGAAGAACACCAGTTCCTCTCTCAAACCACAGACTCATGACTCAGTTGTCGAAGAATCAAAGTTAGCGTGACTTTTTTTGTTTTTCAACTGTGGTAACGCTGAGAGGATTTTCTCAAAAGCTCATCATGTGTCTTCTGAACAGTAATGTTGATGAAGTCCAGGGGATAACTTTTTTGTAGGATGTGTGTAATGTTTGTTTCTTTGTTATGAATTTTGCGCAAAGCTACACGACGGCTATCTGCACTAGCCATCCCTAATTTAGCAGTGTAAGACTAGAGGGAAGGCAGCTAGTCATCACCACCCACCGCCAACTCTTGGGCTACTCTTGTACCAACGAATAGTGTGATTGATCGTCACATTATAACACCCCCATGGCTGAAAGGGTGAGCATGTTTGGTGTGACAGGGATTCGGACCCGCGACCCTCAGATTGCGAGTCGAGTGCCTTAATCACCTGGCCATGCCGGGCCTGTAATGTTTGAAACTTCCTATCAAATAATAGAAAGATGAATTGTTAGCAAGTTGAGAGGATCTGGTTGTTAAGATGCAAGTTAAGTTATGACCTTGCACACATGAAATGCATGTGATGCTTCTGTCAAAAAACCAACACTTTGACTTTGGCTTTCCCTAAATGAAGCTTATGTATTACAGAGTTCCTTGTAATCAAAATATATATTATCTAGTTACTAAAATGCAAAATTATTTCTGTCGTATTTTACTAAGAATAAACAATAATTCTTCTGAATACAATGCATTTCCATTGTAACTAATTTTTTTTTTTACAATAAAAGCACATACACAAATATACCCACTAAAGCCTCTTCAATATATCATAATATTTTGCTATTTTTTTTGTTACATATTACTAAAATAATAATAGTAAATTAGAATTACATGCTGGAAAGATTTAATCCTATTTGAGAAATTTAAATAAATCAATGGTGCCAGAAGCAGAAAATACACTAATTTCAACTTTATAATGTCAGAACTACAACTTCAAAATGTTTACATCAAGTTGAATTACAATATAAGGCTTCATTGTTAATTTTACAGCTTAAATAGATTGTTTTTAATTTGGTTATGATGTTTTCACTCAACAGATAAGTTTTGTTTCTGGAGGTGAACATAAAATGTATGGCATTTGAGTTGCCTCATTGAACGTGTGTGTGTGTGGGGGGGGGGGGATATTATCATTCATTGGATGTTTTAGTAATTGAAAAAAAAAATCACAAAATTCTAAATATTTCATACTGGTACGTCGTACCAGCCTACGTTCACCACTGTTACTGACATTTTACGAAAAGTATAGCAAATGTAGACTAACCTGTCTTATGCTTACATTATGGGTGCTTAAGTGTTAACACAATCAGTCAGCACTCTCTTGAGTCTTGAGACCAACTGACATGGTTGTTCTCTTCTCCCCCCCCATTAACAATAACATCTCCTTTCAACACACTGTATCATTTAATTAATTCACATTATTTTTTTTTATTGGCTTATTGTTTATTTAGAATTAAAATTAATTCAGCATCTTTGTTTTTGGCTCATTTTTTTGGCAACCCCCAGGATGGCCATGGCTCCCACTTTGGGAAACACTGCTCTAAGTTACAAAGACACTTTTCCAATGCAATAATAAGAAAAAATACAACAGAACTTCCAAAATTCAGAATAAGTTTAATGTAGAATGCACTAACCTTGTTTCAGGTGTCTGAGGGTTAACAACTTCAACAATAATGTAAGCATGAATGAAATTGGATGTTATTATGGTAGGAGAGAAAGGAGTGTTGCCTTCTTGGAACACGATGGCTACAATGTCATTCCCTATGTGACGTTTCCGCTGAAGCTAAAAAAACAAAAGCAATTATCAAGAATGAAATTGGATGTTATTATGGTAGGAGAAAAAGGAGTGTTGCCTTCTTGGAACACAATGGCTACAATGTCATTCCCTATGTGATGTTTCCGCTGAAGCTAAAAAACAAAAGCAATTATCAAGACTGAAATTATAGATCACGAAAATGATTTCTAATCATTATATGTGCATAATGAGAAAATATGATCTTTAATTCTTCAAGATTATCATTGTAAAAGAATTTTGTTTTTCATTACCTTCAGAATGGTTTAATGATTTGAAAATCTCAAAAACCATGATGTTCTGAAAAAGTTTTGACCATTTTTTAACATTAAAAGAAATTACAATAATGTTATTTTTTCACTTTCACTCATAAACTGTAAAATGAAAGAGATAAATAATAAATAAGTAACTTCTATTTGGGAACAAATTCTATGCTCTGAAATTGAGCCCTTTATAAAAAAAAAACAACCTAAATTGTGCTTCATTTAAGCTTTCGATATATAAGTTAAACATGCCAGCTTTTTGAACTGTATTTTTTAGACTCATGAATACTGTATTTCGTTGTTATTCAATTGAAACCCATTTGAGTTGAAACTTTATTGGTTCCATTCTTCAAGTAAAGACTTGTTGCAACTTATTAGAATAACCTGAGTTTGAATCTTTATACATACATCTGAGTGTAGTCATGCACGTTCTGAGGAAATAAAAGAAAACCTACAACAAATTAACTCCAATTCTTGGTTTCTTCATACAGTTTAAAGTGAAGCATTTTCCACACATTTTTTAGACAAAGTTCTTACTTATTAATTATATGCACAGAAATTTTTCTGCATTAAAAATGTAGTACACAATGTTTAAGGTAATTTTGAATTAAAAGTATTTGCATGTATAGAAGCTGTGAAAAAAAAACAACCATCTACCTGCTGAGGATCTCCTTCAGTATATGGAAGGAGTGTAGAAACATGAAACATGACTTCGCAGCCTTGGAAGTGGGTGTACACAGACTCGTTACCTGTTTGGCCATAGTGGGTGTCCAGACCACCTCGAAAGCTGTAAAAAAAATAATTAAAACAACTGAAGTTACAAGAACAGTTTGTAATTAAAATATAATAAAAAAAAACTTGCACTTTAATTTAATTAAATGTTTATTTTTTAAAAAAATGATAAAAATACAAAAGCTTCAATATTAAGTCTAGCTTTTGAAACCTAACAAAACATAAAGTATTTACTTATACATTAAGAATAATTATAAAGGAGCTTACTACAACTTCACCAAAAGTTGTAACAAATTATGCTTAGCAGTTATAACAATTTATTTTTATTTCATAGTAAAGAATATGTTATGTCCTTTAATATTTTAGAATTTGAAATTCCATTAAAGAAGTACTTTATGCAAATTCATAAAATAACTAATAATATGTCAGCATAATAACACAGATAGGTTAAAAGATTACCCTCATCTAACAATACCATACAACACCCTGATAGGGAACAAAATAGGTGTACAGTTGATGTTTTTCACACATTGAAAAACAAAAGATATGTAAAATTTAACAAGTAACGCTGGGTTGGTGCTCAAGCAATGCAGGAAAGATGTATTGTCACGTGTAAGCTTAGTTTAACAACCAATTCCACTTGCTAATTTATCCTTTAGTTTTATAGTAAAAGTGAAAATCTGTCGAGTGGAAAACACATTAAATTTTTAAAACTCATTAATTCAACTTATGATGTTAAATAAGAAACATAATTAGGCTTTAATAAGCAAAGTTTTTTAAATTTTGTATGATTACAAGAACAAGAGATAAGGGGCTTTTCCTAAATGCTAGTAATAACTTTTTTGACAATAATAAGAAAACACTGCTCAGACAGATGAAAACTACACAAGTTTTATCTTACCCCTGAAAGTCTTTTAGCTTGATCTTCTGACCTATCATATTCAGAAATTCTTCCATTGCACCACTGTGAGTTATATTCCCAAACAACTCTTCCTCTGTTGTCTAAATCAACATAAAAACGTTGCTTTTAGATGTAAATAGAGTAAAATATTACTCTGTCTTTAAAAAGTTAAAATATATTAAATTAAACAAGAGGGAACCATCAATAGTCATGGCACTTAAAATTCTTTTAGGCAGGATTAGAGTAAATTCATCTACGAGACCTTTTTTTTCCTTTTTTATTAGCTAAATTTTTTCTGCACCAGCAATACCAAACGTGGGGTGTGGGTATACCTCAATTCAATTTTATTACTCACAAGGATTTCTACCAGCCTACCATGAAATTGAAATTCTTTTGGGCAGCATTAGAGTAAATTAATTAATTTATGAGACCCCGAGTGTGGTTAAATACATTAATTGAAAGGGTTTGACCTCCTGAGTCTAAAACTGTACCTAGATCTCAAATCGGTCATGAGATGACAGAGCTATGAGCTAAAAGTTTGTACTTGGAAAAACAAACAAACTCAGAGCTGTTCTATGAGCCACCGTGCTGTGGCTAAAAAAGTGCTGTCAAAAAACATCTTGTTTATACGGAACCTTCATTTTGCATATCATGTTCATTTCATGCCTTTAAGTGGGTTTTATTCTTTATTTGAATTGTATGAAGCACAAACTATAAAAATTAATTTTTAGGCTCTCACTCTGCATCTCTTTATTGCCTTTTATTCATTTTTATGTGCACGTAAGTATGTGATAATTAACAAAAAAAGTAATTTTTTTTGAATGAATATGAAACAAATTTCAATTAACAAGTATCTTTTATAATTAATATATTTATAGTTTGTCTGTATAAAATCTGGGCACAAAAAGTATTTCACCTAAGCATGTTTTTAGAACTGTGCCAAATCCTTCTGCACGTAATTCCATTAGTTAAAAAAATGTTTTAAAATCATAATATTTTTAAAATCTATCTGATTACCTACAAGCCTATACTAGCGTTTTTATAAAAACTTTTTTTATTCTTTCTTTAGTTGTTTTTAAATGTTCTACAAGTATCAACTGTAATTGAATAAATATTTTGTTCGACATAAGAAAGCAGTACTTTCTTTTACTACAAATAAATGATAAATAAAAGATGACTAATTCTAATAATGCTTCCAGTTGGTAAGAAATCCAAGTTGTTTTTAAAGATTCAGTTGGAAAAATCGTCATTAAAAAAAAAGTTACTCAAAAGTACTAAGCTAAACAGAATATTCAATGAACATATACTAACCTGAGCAACCCTTTGATATATAATACCAAACTTGTATGTATTGACTAGAACATGCTCGTCGTAAGCAAGCAACATTTCAGAGGCCTAAGAAAAGAATTACAAAATTAAATTGTCTACATTATCTACATGAACTCAGAGATGGTTGTTTACATTACAGTTGTTCTCATGCTGAAAAAAAATTAAAATATTTAAAAATGGTGCACTCATTTGTCCTTTTGTAAGTTTTATTAGCTCTATTACATAACACCTTACACACTTTAATAGCTCTATCCCATTTACGTATAAACGAAACCTTGTTACATGCTT